TACTTCAGTACTTTGACTTCACCTTGATGGCACCTAATTAGTTCAACCTCTCTTTCAACAGTTACCAGAACTTGGCCTTTGTTATTCCCAAACGTTATTTTATCAAAATCAATTACAAACTTCCTTGGTAGTAGATAGTTCAATTCTAATATGCATTCGTCTTCAATGTCAGCCAAGTATACTTTCTGCCTGTCCTTTATGCCCATGAGCTCAATAGTTACCCACACTGGTACCCACAATCTTGTAGAATGTCCCGTCACACCATAAAGCTTCTGTATGGCTTCTGGTACTCCTTCGTGATCTAACACCTTGATGCTCACAAGGGTTTGCTGAGACGCAGAGTCTATTACAAAGTTGCACCTTTGGCCATCCAGCTTTCCTGTCACATAGACACTGTGTGTGCTTGGCATTTTACACCTAGCTGTTGGGACTTTCATGATGGGGGTTGGTTGGCGTCGCTCCATACCAACCACTACTGGTCTCCTTGAGGCCGACTTGTTGGTAATATTCCTCCTACACTGGCTCCTCAAATGTCCGTGCTTTCCACAGTTCCAACAACCTTTCTGGATAACAGCCTTTCCTGCTGTGGCATCTCCTCTGTGTTGAAGTTTCTAGCATTGAGCTGTCTTGTGCCCAGGTTTACTACAGTGCCAGCAAAGTCCCTCAAACCTCTCTGAAAGCTGACCTTTTCTGGCCTTGAATCCAGATGACTGTACCAACCTCGGTACCTCTGTGCTGGACTTAACGTAGGATTCAAATTCGAAAGCTCTGGCCATTGCATCCTACATAGTAGAGGGGTGTGCTTGCTTCACTTGTATCTTAAGTTGGTGACTGTCCAAGGCATCTACGAACTGATCCCTCAGCAACAACTTGAGGAGATCGGGTGGTGCAGTTGGGTAGGCCTTGTGTGTCATGCTTTCCAAGTCCTGTGCCAGCTCTTGCAGGCTCTCCCCTTTAGCACAGACTCTCGTCCTGAACCTAGCCCTGTAGAGGTCTGACTGATTTGGGGTTCCGTACCTGAGTTCTAGAGCCGACACCAGTGCTCTATAGTTGTGTCTGTTGGCTGCTGACAACTGTCCAAGTATTTCCAGTGGTTGTCCTTTCAAGCTCGTTGCCAGATATACTGCTTTCTGCTCCTCTATCCATCCGTTCATCTCTGCCAGTAGCTCAAATTGTGCTCTATATGCTTCACATGGTGCTTTCCCATCGTATTCCCGTGGCTTCCTTCTCACTGAATTACTCCTAGTACTGACATTCATATCTGGGATGTGACTTCTAACAGGACTGAAGATGTCTGCATCAGGGTTTAGCTGCGGGGTCTGGAAGGGGCTTGCCATTGTCTGGGGCTGATTAAGTCGATGGTTAATGTATCTTCCTTGTGTTAAAGATAATAGATCGTACTTTAATGTATCTAATTCGCTTTTAAATTTACTAATGTTTTCCATTTGTTCTTCTTGCCACTGTTGTTGACTTTCCTGTAGTTGCTACTGACTTTCTTCCTGTTTCCTTTCTTGTTCCAGTTGCCACTGCTGTAATCTCTCTTCTTCTTTCTTTTCTCGTTCTTCTTGTTTCTTTTCTTTTCCCTCCAACAACTGCTGTAATTTCTCTTCTTGTTTATTTTGTTGTTCAAGCTGCCACTGTTGTATGTTTTCTTGCAACTGCTGTTATCTCTCTTTTTTGTTTCTTTCTTTTTCTTCCAACAACTGCTGTAATCTCTCTTCTTGTTTCTTTTCTTTTTCTTCCAACAACTGCTGTAATCTCTCTTCCTGTTTCTTTTCTCGTTGTTCTTGTTTCTTTTCTCGTTCTTCTTGTTTCTTTTCTTGTTTATTTTGCTGTTCTTGTATTGCTGCCATCAAATCTGCTAAGCTGTAGTTTGATTTGCCGCTTCTCGTTTCCATTTTTTTTCCGTCCCACTCTCTGACACCAATTTGTTACGTCTCCGTTCGTTAGTTAATTAATTTTCCGTAAATTCGTTCCGACGAAACTTTAGCGACACAAGTCCTTTCTTAAATAAAACTGGTTTATTCTTTCCGAATACAACTTTACGATACACTTAATTTCAACAGTCGCTCTATAACAACTCTATAACTCACGTCTCATGTGGCCAACAATATTTTATCCGCATACATTCAATTACTCATTACCTCTCCGTCGCTTCGTGGCCAGTCTTATATATACAAGACTACACTATATCTAGTAATCTCACGACAATTCACGAAGGTTCGAGAAGGACGTGGCGTGATACTAATCACGTGAACTCGCTGACGCAACAATATATATGATGGGACCTTATCCTAAGTCTACTACCGGGAATAGTTATTTGTTTGAGAGGATATCATAACTGAAATAATCTGTTACAACAAACAATTCATTTAAAACATGGAATAAAGGTAACGTGTCTTGCAGATAGAATGACTATCTTTAAACTATTAGGATACTTTGAAGCAGACTTATAGGTAACATGTAGCATTGTGGAACAACGTTTTACTGTTGTTAAAGATTTGGCCATATCTTGCCTCATTGAATTCAATTTTATTCCACAAAATGAAGCTGCCCTAAATTTCTTCTCAAATGCTATTGAATTAAATATGACATCTGTAAGGCGTGACTCTGAGGCTGAAAAAGTACTAATCAAAGAATTGCTGTATTCACATTTAAAGAATAAAGACTGCAGATATTTTTTTAACAAAAAGCTTGACCTCACAAATTTGTCTGAACACAATATTCTAATCACTAAATAAAAATCAGTCCTTGATCTTAAAAGATTACGAGCTAATTCACGAGATATAATTAGAACGAATTATTATCAATTGTTGGTCGATATTGATCTTGAGAAGTGGTTTAGTTTTGGAATATTGTGTTTTTTTTTTCGGGGCGAGTTCTATCTTCTGCTGGTTCTTTTTCTTAACCCCTTTATTTATTGAAACTAATTACATTGACATTTATGTTGTATTGTTTATTAAAGCATGTGTTACGACAGCGGAATTTACGTGACGCTGGTAACGTTTATGAAAGCTCGAGTGTTTACCAGACGCCCTCTATTTCGTATATATAAGACCAGCAAGAAGTGACTGCATAGATAGATAATTGTATAGCAGACAGAGAGATTGAAGATATAGACGGAAAATTGAGTCAAGCGCGGTAGTAAGTAAAAAGCGTGAATCATTCGTTGTAAATTATAGCGTGTGTTTAAGTTAAATTGACTGTGGAAATTAAGTGTATTGCAAAGTTGAATTGAGAAAGAAGAAACTAGTTTTATTTGAGAAAGGACTTGTATCGCTGAAGTTCTTCGGAAAGAATTTTTATGAGTAGTTAACAAACGACCAGAGATGTAACACTTGTATAAATTTCTGGCCAGTTACGGGTTTACTAACTGTCTTTTTTACTTGATTTTTGATTTGTAAGCGATAAAATGTGTATTCTAGTTATTTTACAATTTTTTTTTGTTGTTGTTACTTTTAAATAAATTGTTTTTGTTCGTTACACAAAGAAGAATGTATAATGATATTGTTACGTCTCCGTTCGTTTGATAATTTCCCATAACAATTCTTCCCGTGGAACTTCAGCGATACAAGCCCTTTCTTAAATAAAACTAGTTTATTCTTCCTCAATACAACTTGGCAACACACAGAATTTCCACAGTCACTTTAACATAAACACACGCTATAATTCTCAACGAACGATTCACGCAGTTTACTTATTATCGCGCTTGACTCAATTGTCCGTCTATATCTTCGATTTCTCTGTCTGCTATTCTATTCCGATTCATTGTCTGGCGCACTTATATACAAGAATAGCAAATACTGGATTATCCGTGATGTTCCCCGATCTTTCTAGAACTCATTACGTGTTACCAGCGTCACGTGACTTCCGCTGTTGTAAAAATATGCTCATAGTAATCATTTTTAGTTTGTTCAATAGCCAAATGCTCCTTAGTGCTCAAGTTGACAATGATAAAAAGTTTAGGTGCTAGCTTACTGACATCCAAATTTGGAGTTTCTTCTTGGGGATTAGTAGGATGTCTAGATTGAGCGTCAGGTAACTTGTTCCCTTTTCTGTGAAGTATTTCAAGTGTTAATACTACACTTTAATAACCAACGCATTTTCTTTCTCTCAGAACTTTTATAATCCTTAATTTAGGATTGCTGACAAGTGTAGAAGTCAATAGCACTCACCGTCTATAAAGCTACTCTTAACCGAGCAACAAGATTGATTAGTCACTGTTATAACGTCTCCAAAACAAGAAACTTGGTTCAGTAGCAAATCACGGCTCGAACCATGGATATTATGATTCGCAGCCTAGCACGCTAAACACTGGGCAAGGTCTGGCACGCTGGAGGGTATGAAAAACTGCAGTCTATACAAGTTATATGGTACGCTCACATTACTTAAACTAATATGAAAGTTTAGCATTGTTGTATATTTTAATTAGTAAATCGAAAATACAAGTTGATGCGCTAAGTATTCGATGGCAAATAGCATGTGTTAGCTTTGTTCATGTGGCTATAAAAATTCATTAACTTGGAGGAGGGGTTTATTCAGACATCAAGAATATCTTGTTTGTTTGTTTTGCAATTAAGCACAAAGCTACACAATGGGTTATCTGTGCTCTGCCCACCACGGGTATCGAAACCCGGATTCTAGCGTTGTAAGTCCGCAGACATACCGCTGTGCCACTGGGGGGCCAAGAATATCTAACAAAAATATTTTATCGTTCTAATATACAACAAGAAGTGCACTTGCAAGAGTTATTGGATGAAGAAAGCTGTTGTTTATATCAATATTATATATTATGAAGCTTTTGTTGATATTAATATCATATTATTTAAATACGTAATGATCATTCTTACACTTTTTCAGTGAATTGTATGTTGAATTTTATTTTCCTTATTATAAAAAAAATCGCTTATTTCTTATTGAAGTTTCAACTAACATTGCGCGTAACGCCCTCTCAAAGCCGCAATTTTTAATGAGTAAATATTCGGAACCACTCGGTATGTGTAGCCTATAATTACAATGCGATAGGAATCAAAAGTAACGAATGCTTCCGATTCAGAGAAAATAGCATGGCTAGTTGTTAGTTAGAAAGTGTCAAAAAAAGATTTAGTAGTAAAATGGCAACGTCTCAAGAGGCTTGCTATTTAACTCTGTTGGGTTTAGCAGAAGAATTTCGAACAATGAATCCGCCAAACATTAGGAACTGTATTCAATGTTTATTGGCAATTTTTAATTTAAAACCTCCACCTAAAATGGAAGTCAAGACGCATTTGCAGTTGGGAAATATTTTACTACAGTTTACGAAAAACACAGATTTAGCGCAATCTCATTTGGAAAAGGCGGTAAGCTTACCTTAATTTGGTTTAAGTTTTAACTTCATAATAATTAAAATTAAATAATAATAATATTTAAATTAGAGTTGCTTCTTAGAAGCTAGAACTGAGATTCATACGAATTTATCTCCTATACTTTGTCATTATTAAATTTATAAATTAAGGAAAAATTCGAGGATCTCATTTTATTTTCTGGGAGTTGGTGACAACTTACTGATAGTGATAAGTTTGACTACTTGTAGTACTAATACTATTACATTATTAAATAGCTTCGGTACCTTTTATCATTAGTCAATGTGTCATGATAGCATACACTTTTGAAATTCTACGCAATCACAAAGGAATACCAGTGTATATATTTATTATTAAATATATATTAAATTAAAGTCATTTAAAATTGAATAAGACTAAGATAATGGATATAAATAATAAAGGATGAGTTGGTTGTGGCAGAAACATATTTGGATGGAAAAAAAATAGGTTTGTAATTAATCATTTAATGAAGTTCAGTGGAACTGAATTAATTTCACCAGTGGGTACCTCAAGGCTCAGTGCTAGGACTTGTGCTCTTTTTTTTAAAAATTTAAATCAATGGCATATATGACTGAACGGACATAGATCAAGGAGTGAGGAGTAAATTAGGAATGGGTGAAAGCCGGACCAAGGAAAAATTTGCGGGATGGGCCATAAAAACAACTCCAATCAACTTGAAAATAATATGAAACTTTTATTGTTTCTCCATATGTTAAATGGTAACAAGAATAACCATCATAGAAAATTTAGTTTAATTTCATACGTAAACATGTCTGTCTCCAAGCCTATCTTGCATCATTACTCATTCCATAATGTACAAGTATCAAAGAGGGTCTTGTTTATCTATGGATTTTCAATTTTTTTAATAAGTAAAAATGTCATGAGTTCACGATAATTTTATGTTGTGTATGTGAACAGAAGTACAAGAAAGCAGTTGTTGTAGTTTTTGAGGTGATCGGAGTTGATTAAAGGGCACATTCAAGCGCTTTTGTCTTGGTCTGACAACATTTTTATAAATTATGAAAACATGAAATATGATTTCACAATCATTTTATGTTGTCTACGCAGACAGAAACAAGAGAAAGCATTTGGTGTGGTTTTTAAGGTGATCGGAGTTGATTAAATGACCAGTCCAGGCATTTCTATGTTGTTCTGGGTTTTACAAAGTCCCAATAAATTGCTTAAATTAACTGATGATATTTAGATTGGGAAAGTAACTGATAGTGTGATGTTACTCAAATATTATCAGTAAGAGAGAAAATATTTTTAATTTGATAATACCCTTTTCGTGTGGACTCCTAGTGTTTGCCGAAAAAGGATATGTTGCAAGCCTCACTCTTGTTACTTTTAGCCTATGCTTCATTCTCTTAGATCATTAAAGACTAACAAAGGATATAACAAAAATGTAAATATGACATATCCATGAAAAATATTTTAATATGATATAATCTGTTATTGAATATTATAATTAAATGATTGGTAATTTGACTCTAATGACTATTCTTCAATTATTAAGATTGTCACACCACTCATCAATATCCATTTTTAAATGAGGTGATAAGGAGACCAAACTGTACTTAATATTTTAAGTGAGACCAATTTAATGATTTTTATCAAAAAAATTATCTCTCTTGCTTTTAATCAGTATCTCTTTATATAAATCATAAAATTCATGGTGAGATTAAACTGATCTTCACAATATCTGGGTAACATCCACACTATATTAAACTGATCTTCACAATATCTGGGTAACATCCACACTATCAGTTACTTTTCCAACACCTACAGTTTAACTTTCACATGACAGATAAAGCTGATTTTCATTGTAAGAAAACAATTCTTACACTGCTAGTAGTCTCTCAATTACTACTATGTATGAACCTACTGATTGGCTCAAGTCATTATTTAGTATCTCAACAACCTTAATAAATCTAAAAATATCCAAATGTTTAATGTCATCTGTAAACTACTAATTTACTAATCATGCTTTTAGCAATTTTATTATTGTAAATAAGAAATATAAATGCCCAAGACATTGAGGCACTCCACTAGTAACAAAGTTTCATTTGGACTAGACTCCATAAATAACTTTTACCTTTCCTTTCTTCGGGAAAAGTAGACTTAGCTTTTGCATCACATCTAATAGAAGATAAATACCAATTTCATCCAGAAAAAAACTGCAAACTTTTACATGTCTGTGAGAAAGGTAAAAAAGTAAAAAACCTGCAAATTTTAGAAATAAATAGAAGTTTAAAAACAAATGGAGAAAAAGTTCTAAACAACCAAATCAACTTAAGCTTGTCCCCACTTCTCATTCCCCTTGCCCCAGGGTAATTGCTTACTTCTGGTTCTTTGGTAACACACACACAAGTTAGTTCAGTTTGATGATACTATCACTGGCAAAACTATGTTCATTATAAATGAAATATTTGTTAAATGTACAATTGTCTTGGTTTTTACCGGCATTATATCCTACCTCCTCTCTCAAAAAGCGTTTTTTGCTTGCTACTAGCCTTGTTACTCCCATTTATTACTGCATACTAACATGCAAATGATCATGCAGCAATCCTATTGGTGGAGAGGTTGTTGTATGATCATTTACATGTTAGTGTGCAATAATAAATGGGAGTAATAAGTTAGTGGTGAATAAAAATTTGTGCCAGTAGAGGGCAGTACAAGTTAAGCTTTTTGTGAGAAGAGGTAGGTATCTATCAGAAATACATTATCAGTTTAGGAAAATGTTATTGTGCAGTTGTGAACTTTTTGTAATCATGCTGAAAGTATCTGTTTATTATCATGATTATTCATCAGCACTATGAAGATACAGATCTGGCTACATTTCATTCAAAACTGATAACTCGCATAGCTCTCCAGAAAAAAAATGTCTAATTAAAATCTAAATTATTGTCTTGTATTGAGTTTGATTTGTAACTTTTAGAACAATGTTTTATATAATCTACATTGATGTTTTTGTAACTGATTTTGAAAATATTACTTTAATTGATAATTTAAGAAAAAATGCCATCAAGTTTAATTCATATAAATTGAATAACTGGTTTTCATTAACATATTTTCCATTTCACAATACTTAAAACATATTTCTTAATTTTAATTCAGATTTGAATAAAAAGTATATACTTAGCAGAAAGGTTTGAATTATATCAATTGTAGAATTTGTTTTACAATCTGTGTAAAATGAAATTCTTGAAACTACAATACAAAATAAATTACATTGAATCTTGAATTTTTATTTTCAGTCATATTTAGGCAAAAATTAAAAGAAAAAAAAAGTTAGTTTAATGTTGATATAATGAAAAACATCCTTAATGTTACTGTGTACCTTAAAGAGCACTAAGAACAAGCATCTTGAAGTTATTATGCATAGTTAAAGTCCAAATTTCTGCCTGTCTGCAGTAGTGAATATTTCAGTTGTTGAACTGTGTGATATTGGTTTCCTGCATCAAAAAGGTCATCAAGTCCTTGCTTTGTTTTGCAACTACATCCTCCTGGTCTGGATAGTGTTAAGACGTGTCTTTCTTTATTATTGAGTCCTTTTCCCAATTTGTATATGTCCCATGAATGAAGAACAACTTTTTGTTTTTTGTGCAATTTTTTATTTTGGGTTAACTTGACCACTGTTCTGAAGAATCAGTTTTAAGGTGTCTTAATTGGTACCAAAATATTTTTTCAGTCTGACTTAAACTAAAATCCCCTGACAAAAAGAACCAAGTTTTACTGGTTAACTAATAGTTTTTTTTCAACAATGAATCTTTTACAATAAACTACAGAGTTGGTCTGATCTTCTTAAATACATTAGCTAAACCCAACTAACCGTTTTCTTATGTTTATCATACCAAACAAACTCTACACCATTTAACAAGCAAGTAAATCTCAGAACCTAGGAAAGAAAATTAAAAATTACTAGAAACAAAACCTAATTGTGAAGAAAGCCAAATAATGTTTTAAAAACTGTTTTTGCATTAAAGTAAAAAAAGAAAGTAAACTATCTGAAACAAAATTATGATTTCTTAATTTGGACTTGTTTTTATTGAATCTGTGGAGAATTAAAAAATTTCTGATTTAGGCATCTAACATCATTAGAAGAATAACAGTAAGATGAGCAGGTCAGTTGGTCCATCAGTATTTAAATTTTCAGATTGATATAGCCCTAATTGTAAATTGCACTATTAAGCTTCCTAGTTTTTATCTTCAGATTTAAATTTTTTAACAAGCAGTTTTATTAATATCAATTTTCTTATTTATCTCATTAGCTAGTTGTTTAAGGTGGGATCTAATCAAATTGTATATAAGCAAATACATTGTATGTTGTTATTGTTACATTTTAAGAAAACTGTTCTATGTTTTAATTCTTTTTCAGTGGTATCGCTCACAAACTGTATCCTTTAATTTGGAAGGTTAAATGTGATAATGTGTTATATTTTCTTTTATATGCACTGTATTGTGTTTGTTGGTACAGAAGTATTGACATTTTGTGCACTAATAAGTAATTCAAACTCATTAATACACCTATAATGCTATTTATCTGGCATTTAAGTAATGTATGTTATATTACCTATCAGAAGGCTTCAGTATTATAAAAAATATATATATATATATATATAAGTTTTTGAAAATTGATGAAAATGAAAAGCAGATTTTAAAAATATTTATATACACAAGTTTAATAATACAATGATGTTCATCTAAGTAGTAAAGTATTATTATACAGGAAATAATTTGTCAGTTTAACATGTGCAGTTTAAATTGTCCCTTTTTGCTATTCAATCTTATTATTACAAAGCACAAGCTGCAATGACATTTTTATTACAGTGAATGTGCTATTGGATCCAAGATTTTTCAAATTCAGTTATCATTGATTTATAAAATTTTCTTCATACAGTTCATAGAAGTAAATAATGTTCAGTTTGGTGATAATATTGTTGGATAAAACACAAGCGTTGAAAGTCAAAACGTTGTACAGAATGTGAAGAATCATGTAGCCCCAATTCCAAGATTTGAGACTTCACTATATTATAATTAAAAGTAACATGACAGTATCTCACATTAAACCTATTTGTATTATCCATTTTATACATATTTTTTTAGAATAAAATCTGATTTCTTTTATGGAAGATAGGCATATTTTTGATAGAAAGAAATGGATAATGTTGTGAGGTAGTAATTTCTATTTTATATTCAGAGATGATTTTGTTTATTGGTTACATATTGTCCCTCTTTCAGCTATGTTTGCTGCAAATGCTAGCTCATCTGCCTCCTAGTGCACATGTGCACTCATGTTACCACATCCAATAATGTCAAACTGACCTTTAGTCTTTACAAAGTGACCTGTCTTGACTGTTTTAGTGGACTAGTATCTTGTAAAATACAGTCACATTTCAATTATTATACATTATATATGTATATAGATTATTGCTATCTTGGAATAAGTTCTTAAACTTATTTTTCTTAAACATAGAACAGTAAATAAAGAAATAAAGCCAACAATTATCTCTTCTAGTTATGACCTTTGTACTCGGGTTGCTACTTGACATAGGTTGCTATTTTGAGCAGACTAAAGACACAACCTACGTCCTTGAAATCTTGGTTCAAAAGAAAGAAATGGCATCCAAACATGTTAAAATGGCTGAGAAAAAAATTAGGGAGACATTTTGAGCTTCCAGTTGGTTATTCGTGTCAGATATAAAAATTGTATATAATGGAGCATTTCCAAAAATGGAAAGAGGTAGTGGGTGCCACTGTATTTGATTTATTACATGAGCAATATCTTAGCATATAGAAAAGATAAGTCCTTCTTATTTTATATTCTAGCTTGACAATGTCGATAATTTGAGTTACCTAATTTGTACAAAACTATAGACTT